GCCCTTGAGAAATTAAGAACTTGAGAGGGTCTCAAGAACTAATCACTCTTGAGTTGACTAGAAAGTTGTATTTTGAAGAAAAGAAAGCTTACCGCTTTTCCTACTTCTCAAAAGTCACACTTCTTTCACACCAAATCAAAAAGCGCTTTTCCTAATTTCATTGAAATTAATTACGAGGAACAGTTAAAGAGAGCTGAGCAATTTCATAATCGGTTTCCATGTAACATGTTTCTAATGAGACCACAATGAAACACAACACAGAACAGAGGTTTTCACGACAAACTTGTTCTGCGACACGGCATCAGACCGAACGTGATGCCAACAAAAGCCAAAGACCGAGACGAGACGGGATTCCGGCCATCATCTGTGAACGTGACACTCGGACGTGATTATGTCAACGGAGGAGATTCCGGAGGGGGAGGAGATTCTTGTGGAGGGGACTAACCCACAACTCCTTGTCCACAGTATATGTTACTCAATAGGCCAAGTCGGGCTCTAACTGCAGCTTCTCTTCACACATTCTCAGAGTTGGATCCCCGACTTCAAAGCGGTTTACGCTGTCCGGGTTAATTCCCGGTGCATTTGGTCCCAGCACGTCGACGACATCAATTCTCCTGGCTAAGAGCTCTGTGAGTGGCTTTCTGGGTCAGCTGATTAATTGCCCCTCTGTGCTCGTCTTTCAGTCGGGAGAATCATCATATCACCTTACCAGCGAGGGAGCAGTTCTTCCCTTCCGCTTCCCATTTGTATCGACTCCAGCTCACCCAGCTTCCAGCAGCTTTTTCCCTTTGGTAATTAGAGTCGCCGCCCCATTCTTCTCCTCTGTCTAATTCTAATTTCGTTTAACTCTATTTTTGGTGCGATTTGGAAGTGTTCCAAATGTCGTGACTACTTCACATAAAAATGTTTTGCAAAAATAAAAAGAAAAGCAGAGAAATTTATTTGCTTTTCGTGCGTTCCCAATTTATGTGACATCTCAGATGGAAATGTGTGCTCTCTAACAGACATTTCTGGGTGGAATTTTTCTGGGTTGTTGACTTCTTCCCTGCTTGTGAAAAAAATTGGCAATAAATTTGACTTCTTCTGGGAAGAGATTAATGGCGATTTGATAGTGTTTCAAATGAGATTCTATAAAATGTTTTTCGCTTGATTTATAAAATAACAATTAGCACTGTCTTTAAGTTGTGGCCACCTTTTTTTCCATTCTGAATACAGTCTAATTATTGGGGTTATGACCCAAGACCGAACCTACCCACGTTTTGGGTGCGACTTTCAAGCATTTTAATCGCACAGTTGCGGACATTTATCAAAGTCTATGCTTAATTTTCATCAGTTTTGTAAAGTTCTATTCAAAATATCAACAATGGGCGGGGGGGGATGCTGAATCAGACAATAATAATCGAAGGCGTTGCCTGGGACCGAAGACCAAAGACCGATAAAACGTAAAGAAACGAAAATTGTAAAATTCTAAAAACGCGGTCGAGGTCACGCACTGACATTTCCGATAATGAATGTACGAGATCCGTGGGCACTATTGTTGCTGTTTCTCTGTGGTCTCTATAGTGTCTATAGTTTCGGTGTAGCCAATTCGGATTCCGATTGCCCAACTCTCTGGTCATTCTCAACCGAAAAAAGCGACGCCGAATTACATTCAACAAAGCCTCTGCCTCTGAGTCAACGAACCTCGCCGCAGACATCAGACGGCAGACATTGGGCATTCGAGAGATATAGAGATATAGATACGCGACGTGCCCAGCAGCGGCGGCTGGTAAAAATAGTAAAAATAGCCACACGCATTAGAGGAACTTATTCCGACGATTTTGACGAGCGAGGAGGCCGAGGGGCGGCGATGAACATTTCGCATGAATAGGCAGCACGAGGAAATGCGAGGAAAACGAGGCGGAAACTCGCATTTGGGAGGCAGACTTTTGGAAGGCAGTGTAATTCGTTGCTGTGCCCAGCAATGTGTTGCAATTCCTCTGACTAAGTCGATAAAAATGAGGCAGCCAGAGGTGGAGAAAGGCAAATTAACCAAAGGAAAATAAAACGTTTAGAAGAAAAATGAATTCTTCAAGGGGAACATTTTTCAAATCATTTTCTAATTATGAGCCGAGTAAATGTAAGCATTAATCATACAGTTCTTGAATATGTAAAATTGTTACATTTAAAGTAGAGAAATTCTAAATTATATCTACAGCTGCAAAAAATGGAAACTATAACTAAACAAATACTTGTGTTGCTTGGCGTGTCCCATCTGGTTGCCTCATTAGCCTTTGCCTCTAGCAAAGGAAATCGAATTAAATCAATGACCTTTTGGGGCTTTATCTTCAACTTCTGGGAACACTCTTCAGCTTTTTTGACATCTCCTAAATCAATTCAACAATTTCTGCCAAATCACGCCGAGAAATTGAGGCTCTTCTTATTTAGACACTTTCACACCACTGTAAAAAAGGCCACACAACACATTCACTTTTCTTGCCATTCTCTCGAGCTCGTTTTTTTATTTTCTGCATCAGATTTCAATCTGAAGGAGAACTCTCGGCATCGTCGTCGCACTGACTTCAATTTGTTTTCCCTGATTTCTTTTATTATTTCCTACGCTCGCCAATAATCTTGAGACCTCTTGAGCGAGGAAAAATAATAAAAAATAAATCAAATAAGAAATACTTGTGGCCCTGCTAGGCTGCTCCTCAAGTTCAGGCGGCGCGCGCAGATTAGTCACGAATTTTGCATAAAGTTCTGCATCTGCATTCTAAATTCTCATATTTCCAGCGCTCCCCGATTCAGTGGGTGGCGGCGACGAATGGCCCAAGCTGGGCCAGACCTGGGCCCGGAGTCGTGCCAAGATTGGGAGTGGTTCAACCTCAGTTTCGGCTCGACTTGAATCGAGACGGAAAACAAAGAGAAAGGCGTTCCTCAAAACGAAGAAAAAAACAACCTACAATGTTGTGGCTTAGGCTGGCTCTTGGCCAGAGGTTGAGACTCAGCTGGGTTGGGTTCGGATGCGGATTCGGGTGGGGGTCCGGGTTCTCTCTGGTCTTTCGTTCTGGTAATGAGCCCCAAGTATCGCAAATAAGCAACCCACACCTGCCTCTCCGGCTCCTCCTCCTCGGTCTTCTGTTTCCACTCCCACTCCACATTGAGGTCTTACTCATGGCGTCTTCGCCAAAGAGTTTTCAAAGTTTCTTATTCTTGCCAGCGGCGCAGAGTCTTCTTCGATGACTGTGACTCGAGTTGGTTAAGTTTGGGACTCACTTATCTATCTACTTACCTAACCAAGCAGGCCAAGCCCATGTCTCTTTCAGCCTCAACCTAAAGAATTCTATTGTCTCCCGTCTTATAATTAGATGTAATGATAAAAATCATAATGCAAACAATTTGCAAGTTGTCGTAACGATGCAGAAAATTGGCTGGCTTTTCAAAGAGTACAAAATACCTTAAAACTAATGTAAAAGATAAATGTGGGGACAACATTGACTGAAAAATCTTTAAATTTTAAATCCATCATTGAGAGTCATTCAATATAATTACATTTACTAAATAAAGATATTTGGGAAGAAAAGACAGCCCGTCGAAACTTTCCCGCCTCTCGAGAAGGAGAGAAAGGGGAAGGTTTTCCGATCTTCCAAAGCTTCCTCATAAATCTTACTCGCAGCGGCGCTTTCTCAAATCATTCTTCAAACTGAAAATGCCAGACTGGAGCTGCAACAGGGATTTTTTTTTGGTTTTGCAGCTGCCTTTGAGTGTCAATTTGGCCATTAACTGAAGTAAATCAAGGAGTTAGGCCTGAGGAAAAAGTCAGACAAAACTTAGCTGTCCGAGGAAATCATTTCCATAAATTTACAGGCTCCCAAAACCAAAGCCCAATCTCTGTGACATTTCAATTTGCCAGCTTGGAAAGGGAGTCAATGAAGACATCGAGCAGGTGAAAATTGAAATTTATGCTCGGCTTGGGCTCCGTTTTCCTCGGGTTTGGAGTTGAGTTGAGTAAGGATGTGTCTGGGGCCATAAATAAACGCTTAAGGTGAAGAGGTTGTCTCCTAGAGTCTCTCTCCGACGAGTATTATCGATTTCTAATTTCCAAAAGGAAAACGTTTCTTTTTTCTGTTGATTTTTCATATTTTGCCAGTCCGCAAGTGACGCAAGAGTTCGCCGGGGTTAAACTGTTTGTATGGAGATCAATGTCCAAGATTGTGGAAGCCAGCCAGGCAGCCGGCTTGGGAGTTTCCTTCGCCTTCGCCTGGGACCATGTGTGGGTGTCACCTTCCGCCTATTTTCACCTCTGAACCCTCGGCGTCAATTGTCTTGTAATTATTTTTTTTGATGTTTGATAAATTGAATATCGCTCTCTGCTCTCTCTCTCCCTCTTTCTTGTGATTAATCGAGGAACAATGGCACAGAGAGCTTATGCAATGCGTGGGATTTTCCAGCCTGACCTTTGGGATGAAGGTGGAGATGGGGTTGCGTTGGGAGGATAACCCGGAGGCAACTGTTAAAGTGACAAATGAGCGATGGCATATCGCGGCAGATGGGCGTTAAACGTTAGGACAGGAATTGGAAAATGTTCGACTGCGTGGTTGTTTTTGTAGAGGATTGGATAATCTACCTTCCAGATTATGTAGTTAATTAGAGGTCTTGAAGATACGAAATGTAATTTAAGAATAGATTAATCGACTGAAAGCATGCACTTTGAGCATTGATAAGAAAAATCATTTTTAGATTGAGCAAGAACCTTAAAAGCTTTCGCTTTTCAATTTCCTAATTAAAATCAAACTCGTAAATATGCCCCACATGATATAAAAACTTGTTAAATTCAACTGTAACCATATATCCTTTTTTGTCCAGCCTTTCTCTAACCTTTTGCTCCTTTCCCTTTACCTTTCCCTTTGCCCCGAGTTGGCCTAATCAATTAGCCGCCTGGGCGTATCAAGTATACGTCATGTTAGCCACATAAGTTGAACCCACAACGGACACCTTTTTAATCTCCCCTTTCATTCCAGGTGTTGTACCATGAAATTGTATCACACGCTCGAGTGGTGAGCTCTTGCATTCGAGCCGCGGAAAAGGAGCAACAGTTGCAGCTCCAGCAGCAGCAGCAGCAGCAGCAGCAACAACATTTGTCGAGTCAGCAGCAACCCGCCTCATTGACCAGCAACTGCTCCAGTGAGTCAACCAGCGAGTCGGCTGCCACCAAGTCGAGCAGCTTGAGCAGTGGCTTCGCCTCCGATCCGGCGGTGACCACACCCCAAGCTGCAGCAGCAGCAGGAGCGACAGCTCCCAGTAACCACAGCAATCCCTCCTCCAAGAAGGGCGAGGGCAATTTGGAGCGACTGAGGGATCGTTATCATCTGCTGTATCTGAAGGCGTTCGAACTGCAATTGTGCCTGGACAATCTGCTGAGGAAACGCAGTTCAGCAGCGGTAAGTCTCACGAATTTATTAGGCCAATTTATAGATCACGGATATATGTACATATATTTCTCTCCACCGTTAATCGCTCCATATGTGTTTAGTATCCAAAAAATTTATGGCTCATCTACATGAATTTGAATCGATTAGGGATTTTCCCAAAATAACCCCCGAGAGGGCGAGGTGTGCCCTTGTCACTCTGGAGATTATCATCTAGGAAATAAAACAGAAAAAGAAAACTGTCAGCCGGCAAGGGAAAACCACTCCGATATGCCAGCGATTCTTTGAATGAAAGAAAGAAAATGCATTTGGCGCCGCTTTCCTCGTACGTTCGTGCTGCTTCGCATTGCCAATTGTGGAAATATCTAATTAGGTTTTTGTGATTTAATTAATTCATTTAGTGAAAATGCTTGCAATGCGACAAAAAATGTATTGGGAAAGCGACGGCGCTGAATGCACTTCAATTACAAACTGGGGAGAAAGATGAAAGAGTTTCGCTTTGCGGACGAGGCGTGTCTTCAGGTTTCGGTTCCTGTTCGATGGGAAGAAGATGACGGAACTGAGAGCTAAGAATGGTCTTGGGAAAGATATTAGCGAAGCATATATAGAGGATAAGTTTCTTTAAAGAATAGTTCAAAAGAGAAATTAAATTAAATTAGGAATATTTTCTTTTCATTGAGGTTTAACTTAGCCTGAGCTTATCCCACTTCCTTTCTTCTGCACCATCGTCGGCCAATCTCCTCATCATTTACTGATCGTTCTGTTCCTCTTCTGGCATCCGCTTCGTGTCTAGTTATAAAGTGAAAGTCAATTCAGCCTCATAGGCACAATGACCCAGTTTCCTGCGGGGCTGTGGATCCTCCTCGGTGCTCTAAACGCTTCCTGGTTAAAGTTCTCCCCGTTCACTCCCCTAGCCTGGTAATTGGAAAGCGTTTTCCATATTCTCCCCTCTTAATTGCGGGTAATTTGCAGTAGTGGCCTCACTAGTGTTGGTAAAAAATAGGAAAATAATTCACTCAAGGCACGCACTGGCTGAGAAGTCTGCTCCTGATCGGAGTCACTCTTCTTCCCTCCCTCTATTGGAGGACCGCCGGCTGTGGGACAAGCTAACCTTTTTTTTGTGCTGTGAACCGATTCGCCTCGGGCAGGCTTTTATCCACCTTTTTCCGCCACGGCGTCCCCTTTAAGATTTTCCGATTTTCCTCGTTGCCGTTGAAACAATTTCATTTTCCAGCGACGGAGCTCGGTGCTCTGCTGATGCAATAATTTGCATCCCCCGCGGGATCGCTCCACGGTTAATCTGTGTATGTGGGCCGATCAAGTTGGCAATTTTCAACACTTTCCTGGCCACATTTAGCCATCATCTGGGGGCTGTGCGGGTAGCCGCGGGCGGCATTCGCTGCTCCACATTTTGGCCATGCATCCAATTTATGGCCAAGCGGAGATTAGCTGCTGCTCCATTCGGGCCGAGATCAGGCCAAGACTTCAAACGAAGGCGGCGAGTATGAAAACAAAATAGCAAATCGGACGAGGGCCAGACGGATATGTCACAAGTGCATGCACTGGCAAAAAACGTTTATAATTAAATTCTACCATTATACCCTTGCAGTGTATTATCATTTCAGTCATAAGCTTGTAAAGCTGTGAAGGAGTCATTTCCGACCCTATAAAACATATATATTATTGATCAGCATCAAAAGGCGAATCGATCTAGCTACCTTGGAAAGATAAACAAAATTTTTCATTTTTTGCAAAAATTTATAATCAAATTTTTATCTTTAAAATTCAAAAAAATTTAGAAAATTTTTAATATATTTTAAATTTTAAATTGAGTATGCAGATTTATTGACCTAGTACAAACTAACTTAGGAAAGCTTTCCTAATTAAATTTAATGGATTTTTGGCTTAGTTATAAGTTTTTCAATTTTTGAATTGTCTATAAAATTGTCTTATAAAAGTCTAGATAATTATCGATTCAAATAATGCGAAGTTTGATCCTATAATTCATTTGCAAGGATATATAAACTTCTCTCTCGTAATTTCTTGAAGTGCATTGAACTATTTACGAATATTTCGTAATAAACTCACGGCTTCGCTCAATGGCTTTTCCCCCGCCGTGAAAATGCACCCCTCCTCCGCTTCTTCGTCAGCCGCAATGGGGTTAAACATTAAGTAGCTGCCATAAAGAAATGTATTTATATCTAAAGCAATATAAAAATCAAAACTGCGAAAAGTAAAAGTGAAATTTATGCGCCCTCAACGGTGGAAGAGGAGGAGGAGGAGGAATCATGAAGGAGCTTGCCGAGTTCACAAAAGTCAACGGCAAGACGGTAAACTCTGAAATCAGCTACGGAATCAGCACCGAAACCGAATGAAAGTGACCAAAATGCGCAGAGAGCAGGGCCAATTGGAAATAAACCAAATCAAATTTACGACGTGCCTTTGGTAATAATCATGGCAACACCAGGAGAAAAGGTTGATAGGATAGCATGCTGGATGCCCTATAGGATGCTAATTGAGTTTAGTACCCCAAGGGATTATTATTATTATTCCAACTAGAGTTTTGGATCGGAAATTTTTTTTGTCATATGTATTTTCATAAAACCAAACAAAAGATAATATAAAGAATAGGGTTCTTTACGTTTTAGTCTCTCTTGTTTAAAAAGCCCAAGATACGGAGTTACGTATCTTTTTATACCCTTGCAGGGTATTATAATTTCGTCTATCCGTCTGTCCGTCTGTCCATCTGTCCGTTTCTACGCAAACTAGTCTCTCAGTTTTAAAGCTATCTTAATGAAACTTTGTAGTTAGCCTTCTATATACTCTCACTCATATATATGTCGGAACGGGCCAGATCGGACTACTATATTATATAGCTGTCATAGGAATGATCGGAAAATGTTTACAAAAAAAATTATAACATTTTCAGTTTTCAGCAGATTTTTATCAAATTTGAGATATAGCCATTTTATTATACTCTACAATTCTTTGTAAAATTATATGAAAATCGAACTACTATATCATATAGCTCCCATAGGAACGATCGAGATGAATAAAATTAAAAATTACAACTATTTCAGTTTTAAACAGATCATCATCAAGTTTGAGGTGTAGCCATGTTATATTAGTCTTAAATTTTGTGTAAAATTTCATGAAAATCGGACGACTGTATCATATAGGTGCCAAACAAACGATCGGTTGGTGTAGAGGAAAAATGCAAATCTGTGAACTGCAAATATAAAATATTATATATTATAAAAAATTAAAATTGTCAAAAAATTTAAAAAAAATTAAATTTATGCCGGACCTGGCTAGATCGAATCGGCTGTTGATGCTGATCAGGAATATATATGAATAATAGGATCGGAAATGACTCCTTCACTAAGTTTCAAGCTTTCGACTGAAAGATAGGCTTTGCTTAATTATTTGGTACATAGAGCGCTCTCCTCTGCGATTCTCAAGTCTTACACTTAAGCAAGGCTCTAGCTAGAGGAAGTTTAGTTTTCTTCTTCTTCTTTTATATAAATTACTAATTTAGTGCTTGGTGGTTGATAGACTTTGATCAAGTGGATGTGGCAACCATGGCTAGATCGAGTCGGCTGTTGATGCTGATCAAGAATATATATGAATAATAGGATCGGAAATGACTCCATCACTAAGTTTCTAGCTTTCGACTGAAAGATAGGCTTTGTTTAACTATTTGGTACATAGAGCGCTCTCCTCTGCGATTCTCAAGTCTTATACTTAAGCAAGCCCTAGCTAGAGGAAGTTTGGTTTTCTTCTTCTTTTTGTGTTTTTTATATAAATTACTAATCTAGTGCTTGGTGGTTGATAGACTTTGATCAAGTGGATGTGGCAATCATAAAAATTATAGTTTTCTTAATTAAGGTAAGACGTTAATAAAATATCTCTTGATAATTGAAACCAAAACAAGGCCCAAAAAGTCAAGATAGATGAAAATATGGTTTATATTAAATTATTGTTTAATTACCATACCCTTGGCCGTGTTGACTAGCTTATTATTGATCTCGAAAAGTCTCCCAAGCTCTCTTTAAGAGCCGTGATGATCATGACGAGCAGGGATATGGGGTCATTTATTTGTTTATAGTAAAGTATACTTAACTCCCGAAAATAGTTTATTCAGCACAACTTACTAAACAAAGAAACACAACAATGGTGATGATCGAAACTGCTCAATATAAAATATATATTAAAATAAGTTGAACTACATTTGTAAAGCAAATTTTTAAGAATTGGTATGCTTTTAAATAACAGAAAGTTAACATATTTCAAGCAATGCTTGTATATAATTTTTGCAAAAGTAATTCTTCACACAAAAACCCGCTCAAAAATAAGGATTTTAAGCTTGCTAATATAAGCCTATTTAGGATTTTTTTTCCTTGTTTGTTTCCTTTTCTTTTTTTTATACCCTTGCAGGGTATTATAATTTCAAAGTATATATTATATACTATATAGTATATTATAAAGTATATATATTCTTGATCAGGATCAACAGCCGAGTCGATCTAGGCATGCCCAACTATCCATCTGTCCATCTGTCCGTTTCTACCCAAACTAGTCTCTCAGTTTTGATGCTATCCGAATGAAACTTTGTAGTTAGCCTTCTATATACTCTCACTCGTATATATGTCGGAACGAACGATTATATCATATAGCTGCCATTGGAATGACCGAAAAATTTAAAAAAAAAAATTTAACATTTTCAGTTTTCAACAGATTTTCATCGAGTTTGAGGTATAGCCATTTTATATTAGTCTTAAATTTTGTGTAAAATTTCATGAAAATCGGACGACTCTGCTATACAAACGATCGTTTGATGTAGAGGAAAAATGCAAATCTGTTAACTGCAAATATAAATATGTTTAGGTGAATGAAATGAAAACAGGTGTTACTTCATTGTTTTTAATCATAAATATATATAATTTATATTGTACGGATTCCTAGTCATAGAAGTTCTATCTGCAAGGGTATATAAACTTCGGCGTGCCGAA